ACAATGAGACAGCAGCGTGGTCAGGAGGCAGGCCGGGGTCGGTACAAGGTTAGCAAGCAGAGCGAGGTCCAGTAGCAAGCTGAGGTCGCTGACGTCAGCACCAGGAGATCAGCCAGAGAATAGTCAGAAGTAAGCCGAGGTCAGCATCAGGAGATCAGCCAGAGAATAGTCAGAAGTAAGCCGAGGTCAGCATCAGGAGATCAGGCAGAGAATAGTCAGAGGCAAGCTGAGGTCAGCACCAGGAGGTCAAGCAGAGAATAGTCAGAGGCAAGCCAAGATCAGCACCAGGAGATCAGGCAGAGAGTAATCTAAGGCAACCTGAGGTCAGCACCAGGAGATCAGGCAGAGAATAGTCAGATGCAAGCCGAGGTCAGCGCCAGAAGATCAGGCAGAGAGTAGTCAGAGGCAAGCTGAGGTCAGAACCAGGAGATCAGGCAGAGAGTAGTCTAAGGCAAGCCAAGGTCAGAATCCAGAATCCACAGAGCAAGGTCAGGAGCAAGCTGGGTCAGCAATGGAAGATCGATCAGTACAAACAGGAATATAGGAACACAGGAACACGGGTCACAGGAAACTGAAGAACATCCAGTGATTAGTACACAGCAGAGTCTCCTCTAAATAGGCAGCTTGGCACCAATGTAGGAAGATGTGTGCGCCGATGCGTGATGGCGCATAGAAATGTGCCTGCGTGTCAGTGCACACTAGATATTAGCCTGGGCTGGTCTGTGTGTTGGTACACGTGCAAAAGCATTAACTGCATGGGAATGAGCTGCAGAAGAATTAGCATTAGCTGCACTAGTTTCCTGACAGGCACACTTCAAACCGCTGCACTATTTATATTGCACTACAGTTGCTGATTGCCAAGTAGTCACTGACTATTTTAATGAAGTTCTTCTTGAAGGTAGGCTATGTGCAGTGAAGCACATATGTAATGGAAGAGTTTAATTTTTTTTTACAAACGATTGTGCTGAGGATTGCATGTGTCTTATGGATTTTTGCTTGTAGTAAGTTAAAAAACCATAACAAAAGAGCAGTAATTCTCACTTCGATTGTACAGCATGGCTCCCAGTGATTCTACAGCAGGTGGGTACAGACTGCATTAATTGGCATGTCGGGTTCGGAAGATTGTTTGCATACTGGCAGCCATTCTACATTCTGAACCGAAAACAAATCCATAGGTTATGCTTCAAGATGCAAATATCCTTGACTTTATAAACTACAAATGCTTGTAAAGACTACTAGAAGATTTATAGAAAGTACTTATTACTTATCATATTGCTTAAAGTGGACTTTCAATAACTTTGCAAGACTATATGAAAACATTCCTGATATGTTACAATGTACAGCAACTACATTCTTTTTTTAAAGCTCTACTTTTCATCATTATGTAGCACTACCCCCTTAGTAGTCGCTGAAGTTTTTGGTCCCCCTATAGTTCTGCACAGCCAAGCAAAATTTCCTTCATTCAGACATCCAGGAGACAGTGCCCAGTTCTTAAACTTTGTTTTGAAGTTTTATTAGGGGATTGAACTTGGATGGGTTAAGGGGTGTGTATGGGATGCCCAAGGGTAATGGCAACAGAGGACACACTCCTTAGCAACTATGTACAAGTCTTTACAGCAAAAAATTCTCTCCTGGAGAGCTAGTCAGCATCTCCTGGTTTACCACACCAGACCCCAGATGAATCCTCTCTTTATCCAGTTGTAGGGGGGGGAATTCCTGGACAGGGGATCCTGTGCCTGCCACTGCAGTGTGAAACAGTCCCGGATACGAAAGCTAATCCAATTTCCCACTAGAGTGCCTTTTTCTAGCCCAGGGGGGCAAGTCTACTCACTCAGTCCTTCTACTGTGCTGCTGATGGGTCAGTGGTTGCTATCAGGCCTTCTAGCTGGGCCGCTCCTTCCCTGCTGCACAGGTGGTCCTAGCTCTGGGGGCTGGTAAATCCTGAACTTTCCTCCCTCCAAGGTCCTCTGCCTGTAAGTGAGTCCCTCTCCATCTGGGCCTCCCAGGCTCCTGCTCTCCTGCCTCCCACTTCCTCTTCTTCCACCCGAATTCTCCTGCTGCTGAGCAGGCTCGGTCACGCTTAAGGGCTGTGCTGGCCCCTTGCCAAGCCTCCTATTGGAGATTGGCCAGGATCCCTTGAGAGTGCAAACTAGCCACTCCTTACCTCTACCCTATGCTTCTAGATCTTTCTCAAAAGTTCTAGTGCAGGGAGAAGTCTCAGAGAGCTGGTCTGCAGGGCCTCTCAGCTCTGACCTAAATTTGACCCTACTAGCTATCAAACCCAGGCTGATACTCAGCCCTCCTGACTATGAATTAGGCTCTAGCTCCCCCTAGCTACCTAGGAGGGTGCTACAAATAAAAAGCAGTCTTTGGCTTCAGTTAAGTGAGTTTTGCTAGGCTGAGATGACAAAATCCGTCTGCTGCAGACAGGAGGAAGCATTTCCCAGTGATCCAAGTGTACTACTTTTGAAAACACACTGCAACCAGAGCACATGGTACATTTTACCATGAGATCCACTGTGGGCAAGCACACTGCATTTGCGACCTAACACCCATTGCAGATCGCAAGGGCAGTACATTATGAATGCAGTGTGGGAAACCCATTAGAAATTCAGGTTTCTTGCACCATGTTCTAGTTTGAAGGGGCCCAGAAAGCTGCAGAAGAGGGCCAATCTATTTTAGATATTTATAAGTACAGCCAAAAACTGCAAGCACACAATAATTTACATAATTGTGTAATTTCTGAGCCAACTTCTTTGTCCAGGAGGTAGATACGGACTCTGTATAATGGTGCTGTACTTCTGTGAGAAAAGCAAATTAAAGCAGAAATAAACCCTGCAATAGTTACCTCTCCTCCAACAGTCCGTGGTTCCTCACCAGCATATCCTACCTGGCTTCTTCCAGGTGCTGGACTGTGGCCACCGTCATTGGCTGCCGCAGGTTGACGTCACCCCAGCGCATGTGCAGGAGTTCAGTCATTCTGGCACACAGGATCTGTACCGAAATGTAAACTTGGATGCACATGTGCAGCTCAGTGTACTTTAAAAAGGAAGACAGCAGCAGGCAGGTAGGTTTATTGCATGTGTAGCGCTACCCTCGTGAGGGCCGCTGAGATGTGGGTACCCCTAAGCCCTGCACAGTCAAGCAACATGCATTTTTCACACTTCAGTGAACAGTCTGCGGGATTGCTTTTTGTTATTTTATTAGGGGACGATAACTTGGATAGGAAATAGGGATTATGGGATGCCCAGTTTGGCTTGAATCAAAGATAGGGGGACAACTTACTTCCTAAGTACAGAGTCTGATCCTGGGCAAGGATCTCGCAGCCCCTCAAAAAAATCAGCTTGGTTCCATTCACTACATATGGGAATTCCTCTTCCCCCCAGTAGAACTGCTCCCAGCTCCACAGACACTATCAGCCCTCCTGGCTGCTCAGAATATCTCCCGGAGCAAGGATAAAGGATTAAGCCCAGTGCTGTCCTATGAAAACTTGCTACATGTGGCAGTATTTCAGCTTGTGAATCCCAGGCAGTGCTGTACTCACTCTGTCTTCTCTGCTCCTTACTGCTCTGAGCATTGATCCTATTCATGCTGCTCTGCTCAATGAATCCTTCCTGAGCCAGCCAGGGCCAAGCCTGGAGGCTGGCTCCCCCAGAATGAGGGGACTCCTCCCAGGTACCAACAGTCTCCTCAGCACTCCATCTTCCACCCGATTGCTCTATCAGCTTGACTCTCCCATACTTATGGGCCAGTACACCACTCAACCAGGGCTTCCAAACCTGGTATTGGCCAGACTCCCATAAATATGCAGATTAGGCCTCCACCCCCTTCTGCTCACTGACTTCTGGAAGATTCCTGGTCCTCCAGGGCCAGAAGGTGGTTATAGAGTCCCAATCTGTTTAAGTTATCCAGCTGACCTGCAGTAACCTGACCTAATTCACAGACTCACACAGTTACCGTGAGTAATTCACAATGCTTTTGCTTGCAATGTACTACATAGAGGGTGCTACACGTCTCTTCTGCATGTCTGCCTGCTCGTACTTTTGTAAATGCAGATTTCAGTTCTGCTTTAAAGTGTTACTAAACCCACAACAGTAAAATCAGTCTACATATGCAGGAAAGCATGCTTGTTATACTCACTGTGGAGCCTAGGGGGTTAATCCTCTGCATTGTGTAAAAAGGCTGTTTGATCCTGTATTCTCTGCTCCTCCCCTTGTTCAAATGTCCACGCTGACAAGACAGGCTGGACCCGTAGCCCTTCTGCACATGCTCAGTTTAGTGTGCAATGCTAGAGAGGTTTTTTTTTTTTTTTCTTGGGAGAGTGCATGCGATCAGCACAGGGCCAATCAGCACTGTCCAGACCAAAGGTCAGGGGTTTTGCATCCTCCTAGAGCAGAAATAAAACTCTTCTTAGAAGCTTTAACCAGTGCTCACAAGACTGCTCTAACTGCTGATGAGAAAAGGTATTTATCAGTTTATATTTACTAAAATAATTGCACTTCCATGTTCTGTGTACTGAATATAGTCAGATATAGTGAATGCAGGGTCCTAAGTTTAGTAACACTTTAACCACTTGCCCTCCTGAGGATTTACCCCCTTCCTGACCAGGCTATTTTTTGCGTTACTGTGCTGCGTTAGTTTAACTGACATTTGCGCAGTCATGCAATGCTGCACCCAAATTAAATTTACATCCTTTTTTACCACAAATTGAGTTTTCTTTCAGTGGTATCTGATCGCCGGTGTGGTTTTTATTTTTTGTGCTATTAAAAAAAAGACTGACAATTTTGAGAAAAAAACAATATTTTGGACTTTTTTCTATTAAATGTGTCCAGTAAAAAATTTTTAAAAATCAAATTTCATCATAAATTTAGACCAAAATGTATTCTGCTACATGTCTTTGCTAAAACAAATCCCAATACGAGTAAATTAATTGGTTTACGTGAGTGTTTACAAATGGCGGTATAAATGCTGGATTTTTTTTTTATTAGTAATGTTGGTAATCAGTGACTTATAACAGGGCTGTGGCAGACATTCTGACACTGGGGGGAACTGACTTGGTGTCACTGACATCCCCAGTGACACCAATACAGTGATCAGTGCTAAAAAAAAAAGCACTGACACTGTACTATTGGCACTGGGCAGGAAGGGGTTAACATGAGGAGAGATCAAAGGGTTAACTGTGTGCAGGGAGTGTTTTACTAGGGGGCTGTGTCAGTGTGCTTCACTGTAAGCACACTGCTTTGGATAGTTGTGCTGTCCACAGCTATCCAAAGCAGTGTGCCCGATCTGACAGGGAGGAGAACTGTCAGCAAGCAAAACAGTCTTCCTCCTCATTGGAGATGCTCCGTAATCACTGGCCACCGGCGGGTAATCACCGACCAGTACCTGGTGATGGCTACGTGGGTAGGGCGCAAGCGTGCCCCCTACCCGGAAATGCAAAATCACTTATACAGTATATACGTGATGTTGCACATCCGTGCTGCCCTGTAGCAGTATTTCTGCTATAGTGCGGTCGGGAAGTGGCTAATGCATTGTCACTATCTTAAGAGTTACATTTATACATTACTTATTATTATTATACAATAATTATATAGCGCCAAAGGGTTTGCTCAGCACTGTACAATAGCAGCTCAGCGCTTAGCATGCAAGCCTATGATATATCTGATATTAGCTCTGTGATGATAGTCTGACATAAACCAAAATATGAAGAGAAAATGGGAGTAGTACTATACACTGTGCCACCCTAATTTTCCCCAGATTTCCCAAGCCGGTGACAAAAAACAACTATGCTAAGCAGCCAGGTTAGTTGTCATTGACCAATTACAGTCTAGCTTAAGACACATTTGACAAAAAACTGGCAAGTTAGATGGTACCCAGGGCACTATCAACCTTCACGAGCCTGGGGTCTTGAAAAGACTTTCCTGGAGGCCCTGTCATAAATGGTCAAGGCATAAACAGTCTGGACAGCAGCTTAATAAAAACACATCCGTGAGTCTGGTATATTGACTTAGACCTGAACTTTCAAGCATCTTAAACTCTCAACCTTAATCCATATTCCATGACTCCTATGTTAACAGAGTTACCTTCCACAAAAATGGTACATTAATGTATAAGAAGATACAAACTACCATATGTAATGTCAGTTTGCAGCCAGCCTGAACAGGAAGAGGCAGACCCACTGTTAGACTTGTTAGCTCACACTTGGGAGTTGAGAGCAGATCTCAAGATCAACCCTCATCTCTGTTTCACATGGGAAATTCAGCCGGTGGAAGTGCATTGTGACTATTTCACAAGGAAACCAATGAGGATCCACATAGCAGTCCACAAGGTAGACACAGGTGCGCATCCTACCACTAAAAAGTATGCCTTCCGTTTATCACTGGAAGGACAGCCAGGCCTTGACAAGGAAATGAGGAATTGCTACAGTTAGGACTCATTTAGAAGTCCCACAGTGCCTGGTTTTACCAGTAGTTCTGGTCCCTAAAAAGGATGAGAGATGACCAGGTTCTGTGTGGACTACTGAGAAATGAATGCCAATGCTGATGCCCACCCCATGCCCTGGATTGGTGAATTGTTGTAAAACTGGTGGCCATCAGCTACAATCATGAACCTGAGTAGAGGGTATTGTTAAGTTCCCTAGCAAGTGAGGCTTAGGAAAAAAAAAATGTCATTTGGAATGAAGAACACGCCAGCCACCTTTCAGGTCATAAATGACCTACTGGAAGAACTGGTAGCATTTGCAGTTGGTTACCTGGATGATATTGCAATGCCAAATGCTAACTAGGAAGAATAGCACCCCTGTTACAGGCCCTGTGCAGCCCAGTAAGTGTCAGACAAGTATGACAGAAGTCCAGTACTTGGGACCTGAGCCAGGGAAGTCAAAGCCATTCTGGCCTGATCTACTCATCAAACCAAGAAGAAGGTTATTGTCAGGGCAGGAGCGGTGGAATGGGCAGGCAGGCCTAATGGTAGGGTCACGTAGCGACTGACGACAGCCGCTACCCACAGACCAGAGTCCCTCAGGGCGCAGAGTCTAAGCCCCAGGCTGCCCTTTACCAGGGCCCCTGATGGTGGGGATGGACTTGACGCAGCCTGAGACCAGGTCGCGGCCCCGGAGTGACCCCAACTGCGGTAACGACTGCTGCCAATGGCGTACAGCTGGTGGGAGCCAGATGGAAAACGTATAGCGTGGTCGGACAGACGGGTCGATAACAACGGAGCAAACAGTACAAGACGGTAGACAAGAATACTCAGGTCACAGGAGGTCAGGTAATGGGATAAAGCAGAGAATAGTCTTGTCCAAGCCGAGTCGGTTACCAGGAGAGCAAAGAGAACAGAACAAGAGCTTGCTGCAAAGGAACATACAGGACACGAATGCAAAGAGCAACTGCAGACAGCAGGCTTAAATGTGATCAGCCACACCCTTCTGGAGGAGGAGCCACAGAGGCCTGAAAGCATAAAGACTCCCACCATGCTTTGCAGAAACCTAAGATGGATGGATGCCAGCACATGGAGCAACACAGTCTCTGAGGAAAGGTAGGACCTTGACAGTTATGTCATTCATTGGAACAGCCAGCTATGCTATTGTAGGTAATTGTTTTGCAACTATAACACCTTGGCCAAACTCCTGACTAGTCCAACCAAGAAGAAACTGCCTAAGTTGGTGTCCTGGACACCAGAGTGTAAGAAAGCCTTTCAGATGTGAAGGAGACACTGGATGCACTAGACACAAAAGCACTTGCTATGCTACAAGCTATGGATCTCCCATATTGATGTCTGCAAACCAATACTTCTGCCTATGGCTTTGATGTCCTCCAGAGCTAGGTGGATCATTCAGGGGAGGAAAATCCCAAATCTAACTGATCAGCAAGCTACTTTCCAGGGAAGTAGCATACGCCACCATTGAGAAGGAGAATCTTGTGATAAGGGGGTGCTATTCAGAAGCTGAAACAGTACCTTTATGTCCACAGCTTCACAGTGATAATTGTTCACAAACCAGCTGTTTGACCTGTGTTACTGGAGAACATGGCAGCCTACTCCGTTGCAGCTATACGATTTCAGCAAACAGCACTAAAAGGTAAGTAATCATGGTAATGCAAACTGATTGTCTTAGCAAACAGAGGTTTTTTTGTGTTGGGAAGGGACCTCCTAAAGAAGGGAGGTGTGATGACAATGAGATCTGATGAATTCCAAACTACACTGCTCAAAAAAATTAAAGGAACGCTTTGAAAACACATCATATCTCAATAGGGAAAACTATCATGCTGGATATCTATACTGCTATAGACTGGGTAATGTGTTAGGAACGTAAAGGATACCCCATGAAAATGAAAATTATCAACCTACAGAGGACTAAATTTAAAGACACCCCGAAAATCAAAGTGAAAAAATTATGCAGCAGGCTAGTCCATTTTGCTGAAATTTCATTGCATGCATGCCGGACAACGTCAGGGCATGCTCCTAATGAGATGAAGGATGGTGTCCTGGGGTTTTTCCTCCCAGATCTGGACCAGGGCATCACTGAGCAGTCTGAGGTTCAACCCGGCGGTGTCGGATGGACCGACACATGATATCCCAGTGGTGTTCTATTGGATTTAGGTCACGTGAGCATGGGGGCCATTCAGTGGGATCAATTCCTCCATCCTCCAGGAACTGCCTGCATACCCTCACCACATAAGGCTGGGCATTATCGTGAACCAAGAGGAACCCAGGACTCACTGCATCAGCACAGGGTCTGACAATGGGTCCAAGGATTTCATCCTGATACCTAATGGCAGTCAGGGTGTCATTGTCTAGCATGTAGAGGTCTGTGCATCCCTCCATGGATATGCCTCCCTAGACCAGGCCTTAAAATTTCCACTTGGCTGCTCGCATTAGCGAGTGGAAATTATGGTGGGGGCGAGTGTGTCCCCAGGGACGTCTTGCTGAGCAGGCTCGAAATTCAGGGCCGGATCTGTAACTTGCACTAGGAGCTGTCAGACTGCTCAATAGTTGAGCAAAGTGAAAGCAAAGGAAGGAGTGTGTGCTGTGCTCTCTGCCTCCCCCTAGAGTGCAGTACCTGGCTCTGTGAGTGAAGGTAACGAAGTACTGCAACTTTTTATAGGACTGTGTGTGTGTGTATGTATTTGTGTGTGTGTATGTATTTGTATATGTGTGTGTGTATTTGTATTTGTATGTGTGTGTGTACATGTGTGTGAGTGTATTTGTATGTGTATGTGTGTACATGTATCCGTGTGTGTGTTTGTGTGTGTCTGTGTATGCATGTACATGTGTCTGTGTGTATGTACATGTGTGTATCTGTACATGTGTCTGCATGTATGTACATGTATGTGTGTGTACATGTGTCTCTGTGTGTGTACATGTGTCTGTGTGCGTGTACATGTGTGTGTGCATGTACATGTGTGTGTGTGTTTGTACGTACGTACATGTGTCTGTGTGTACATGTGTCTGTGTGTGTGTGTACATGTGTCTCTGTGCGTGTGTGTACATGTTTCTGGCTGGTTATGGTCAAGTTCAGGATGATGTGGTTATTATGGGTGGTAGAGGATGGGGCATTTGAGGTACTGCTGGGTTGGATAGTAGGTAGGATATGCCTGGTAGAGTTATGGTTTTGTGAGTGAATGATTATGGGGGTTATGGTTGTATGCGGTGCATGGTCTAAGTATGATGGAGTGTTTAGGCCGACATTGGAGGCCCTGATGTAATGTGGGGGGACTCTGGGGACCCTGATATAATGTGGGTAACAATAAACAGTGTAATTTCATGAAATAATTTACGAGGGCATGTTTAGGTGGTGAAATTAGGGATGTATCAGGTAGGGGTTGGGTGGGGCAACTGGTGGTGATTAACTCTTAAGGCCTGGCTAGTAGCTCAGGACTTGAAATTTTAAGACCTGCCCTAGACAATCACTGACCCACCACCTAAACGGTTATGCTGAACAATGTTACAGGAAGCATAAAGTTCTCCGCGGCTTCTCCAGACCCTTTCACATCTGTCGCATGTGCTCAGGGTGAACTTGCTCCCATCTGTGAAAAGCACAGGGTGCCAATGCAGGCCTGCCAATTCTGGTGTTCAATGGCAAATGCCAATTGAGCTCTATGATGCCAGGCAGTGAGCACAGGGCCCACTAGAGGATGTCAGACCCTCAGGCCACTGTCAGGGATCCCCTCGATCCCCGCCGCGATGGTCCCGGCGCAGGCGCAGTGTGCCACCCTGTGCAGGGACTCGAGCATTAGGTCCGGGCCGTCCGCGGCGTTCGAGTTCGCGCATGCGCAGTAGAAAGCCGCGGCCGCCCGCTGGGCACCAATGGCAGCGCAGGGCGGGATATTTAAACGACCCTGAGCTGTCATTCA